TTTTTAATTCTCGAGTGATGAATTTACCCCTCCCATCCAAGCTAGTCTCAAGAGAAAGGAAAGGCAATTTTTTAATTCTCGAGTGATGAATTTACCCCTCCCATCCAAGCTAGTCTCAAGAGAAAGGAAACGCAACTTTTTAATTCTCGAGTGATGACTTTACCCCTCCCATCCAAGCTAGTCTCAAGAGAAAGGAAAGGCAATTTTTTAATTCTCGAGTGATGAATTTACCCCTCCCATCCAAGCTAGTCTCAAGAGAAAGGAAAGGCAATTTTTTAATTCTCGAGTGATGAATTTACCCCTCCCATCCAAGCTAGTCTCAAGAGAAAGGAAAGGCAATTTTTTAATTCTCGAGTGATGAATTTACCCCTCCCATCCAAGCTAGTCTCAAGAGAAAGGAAAGGCAATTTTTTAATTCTCGAGTGATGAATTTACCCCTCCCATCCAAGCTAGTCTCAAGAGAAAGGAAAGGCAATTTTTTAATTCTCGAGTGATGAATTTACCCCTCCCATCCAAGCTAGTCTCAAGAGAAAGGAAAGGCAATTTTTTAATTCTCGAGTGATGAATTTACCCCTCCCATCCAAGCTAGTCTCAAGAGAAAGGAAAGGCAATTTTTTAATTCTCGAGTGATGAATTTACCCCTCCCATCCAAGCTAGTCTCAAGAGAAAGGAAACGCAATTTTTTAATTCTCGAGTAGGTTGGATGTCTGCAAATGCTTGATATTCGTTTCAGATTTTTCAAACAGTAAAATATTAGGTGAAAGGCAACACTTACGGACTAAGCTCGATTTCTAGGTATTTTTCCCGTTCTCCAAGGAAAAAGACTTCAGCAACTGAAATTAGAAATGAAAGTAATAAGGAATTATATAATCAATGCGAACCGACCTGAGTATGTAATTTTCTCAGGATGATGATAAATCTAGTTTTTATCCTCGTTAAACTGTGTAAAGAAAGAGAACTACTTTTATCTGTATTTGATTGTGTATCCACTATTTGTTCACTTGTTTCTTTGTCTACTTTTAAAAGATAAATCATGATAAGTTTTTCAAAGGACTGTGGAATTAACGGTGAGGTACGCGATATTGCTGGCACCATTTACAAGCCGGTTACTATTTGACCGGATTTGAAGAACTGATCATAAAAGTCTTGGCTAGAAGGAAAAAAATTCAGTAATAAATATTTGGCGCGGCTACGAATCGTGAAGAAAAGCTACCTCCCAAACTCTTGAAAGTGCAGTTTACAGAAGTCATGAACTTATAGTCGTACCTTCAAAATCCCACAATCCATCACAAGCAGCTCCTGCATTACACGGTGGAGGGTTTGGCTCATTGAAGAATGGTCCACTGACGGAAATACGCACGGTTCGAGAGTCCTGGGCACTGATTTGGAAAGTGATAGGGGAGTGGTTTATTTTTGATCCATTCCATTCTGTATTGATGGCAAAATTGTACTCCTGATGAAGGAAATAAAACGTCTAGTGATGCTACTACAAGAAACGTGTACAGAATGCTCACGAAATTGTCATAAGATGCTTAGCTATATTATGTTCTCAGACCAACGAAAGCAAGACACACTTCACCAAGAATCGAAGTGACGCTCCAACACGTTAAAATAAACAACGCACTTTAGCTAACCACTCTAAATCGCAACACTGGACCTATCCTGATTAGGTAATGATCATTTAAATAACATTTTCCCTTGGAAACTTTAAAAACCTCGAGGGAAAGCACTTTGGTGAATTGAGGCGAGTTTCTTTGACCACTCGTAAAAAAAGGTACCGGCCCTGGAAAAAAGTTCTCAGTGCGAGAAGTGATAAAACAATCTGCTGGTACCTGAGACTTTTGTTAGAAAAGCAAATTTCAATTTAACCGTCGAAAAACGCTTAATTATAAAAATTTGGTACCTTTGGACAAGAACGGCAACTATTCATGAAGCACATGAGCAAAACACAGCTACAAATTTTGGAGAACATTTCTTTGGTAGGCCAGAGTCTTTCTGTTGGTAGCTCTCACTAATCACTCGGTGTAAGAGCATTTATAAGAGGTGAAGCAATTTTAACAAAGCTAAGTCGAATCCGAAGGAAACTATTTGACAAGCTAAGAAAACATATCTGTGGATCGAGAGACGTTATGGCATGTTATGGTTTCAGCTGTGTTAACTGTTGGCTGAGGATGACATCATGTTTGGACAATATAATGTTCCTGTGACAGTTTGTCGTTTCACATCTGTTAGATACTGCACTTGGTTTACACAGCTAAGTTTGATTTCCTGAGATTTTTTCTCGGCGTTGTTTCACTTTTGAACTGAATATATATTGCGCACTGAAAATTAATGCGAACGAAAAAGTAAAAAAAGTAAGATTTCTTACGACTGTAAAGTCGTCAAAACCGTTCCACTTTCAACATCTCCCCTGATTAGGTGGGTGGGAAGAGGGAAACTGGGAAATAATTTATGGAGTGATGTGAAAAAGAAGATAGATTTGGAATGCGTTTCTTAATCAATGAACTTTTTTTCTTGTGAGTCATCACGGGGCTGCTAAATATTTCATCGGGTTCAATTTCGTTAAATTCGCAAATTCCTCAAAAGTATCTTTGAAATACTCACTGACGCATATTTCGTCGATGATTCTTGGTCACTCGTATGTTTCGTTGAAATCATGCAGATATTTTCCCCAACCTTCTCAAATATATTTCTTCTTACCTTCTGACAAAACTGACACGATTTTGGACAATTTTCTCTCATAAATACAGCTTGATAAGAACAGTAGTTCCTGACCCTTGCAAACTTGGCGCATTGTTTCCTTTTATCAACACAACCTGTGAATCAACCGAAAAAGAGAAAATTTAAGAGAAACCCAAAAAAAAAAACTGAACAAAATCACCAATTAATGCATAATTATATAATAATGATAACAATTTAATACTTGTCCATAATGTTCGCTTAATGAAAGATATTATATATATACAAGGCTAAAAAGATTAAGAAAAATTATTAAAATGTTAAAACGAAACGTTTTCGGCTGTTTGCCATCATCAGGGTTAAAAGTGTTTACCGTCTGTACATACCTATATATCTTATGTGATTCCTGATGCACTATTTGAACGGCTAAATCACTATCACCCTACATTGTTTTCACTGCCGAGGAAAACCCTAACCACTTCCTCGATACTTCCTTTAATTATAACAACAAGTTCAATTGCAGCGTTTTCAAGAAACCGGGAAAACTACCAACACATTGGAAATCTGAGGTCCCTACTAAATGGAAAAGGAATTGTATCGCTGGCGCACTCCATAGAGCCAAACGCATCTCTACCGATCTTGACGAGGACATAAAAACTCTTGAAAAATCTTTTATCAATGCAGGTTATCCCAAACGTTTTATTTCGCATACAATCAACAACTTTCTAAACGACCCATCACAAGATGACAACATCATTCCGAATTTTCTCTTCGAAGAACGAAAGGAAGTCTTTATCAAGATTCCTTTTTGCGGTAAAACTCGGTAAGACATGTGTTAAAAGACTCAACGAGTTCACCAATTCTAATTTCATCTTTGTAATCCTGTGGCAAACAAGGCAAATTAAAAGCCTATTTAACAACAAAGACAAGAACACTCACAGATCCAAAGTTGTTTACAAAGGAGATTGT